TTCTGTTCTAGAATACTGTAATCAAGCCAATCCGGAGTTATGGATCCCATAGCTATCCCATAACCCGAGAGAGATACAATATAATATATAATATAATAAGTTAAAGAACATGTTTAAGATAATAGTGTACAGAAACCCATTTGGATATTAAAGAACAGGTTTAAGATAATAGGCTACAGAATACCATTTGATGTTAAGGACTATAGCTATAGAGAGTTACGATAGACACAAATCTAGTAATAATTCAACGTCTTTAATCCGAGACACTACGCTTAATCGCAAATCGCGACCCATATTACCAACAAAGCTGTATACTTTATTATTATTGTTAGGGGATGTGATAATGCTACCATCGGGTGTATTGTGCCCTTCTGGGTTTAAAGTAATTCTTTAAGCCCTGTTGTATCAATAAAAAGTAGTATAGAAGTAGTATAGTGTAGCTGTATTACACCAACAACTCAGATTCCGAACAGTCAAAAAAGAGGCATCTAAAATTGCCGACAAATATGCGAATCGAATATATACTAAAGGGATCGATAAATACCCGGCGTATGTAATATAAACGCATTTCTTTTTGAAAAAATTATATTATAGTCCTTTTTAGCCGACATACTAAATCCAACGATCTCAGCATTTGGATTCCTTTTAAAAAATACGATTTATCAAGTCCTCAAAAATATACCTCACTTTCTCATTCCATTTCATCACTTAATGCAAATCTCTTTGACTGGAATCTTTCATTTATACTCTTTCTCATAGTCACTGGTAGCCAAATCTTAAAAAGCAATTCATACCGTTATTCATTATGCATTAGCAGTGATTTTAGAAAAATCATATTAAACAAATATGATTTGTTCGGATACAATTTTTGAACTACCAGTGTCAGGACTACCAACTCTGAACCGTGAACCCATGCGCCCAATATATATATATATTTAAAATACAATTCTTCAACTCCTTATCATAATAAAAAATAAAACAAAATAACCCAATTGCATTTATTCTCTAAAAAATCTGAACTCCTTAAACTTTATTGGCTTTAAAACTTACCTATGGAAAATCGTTAATCATACACCATAGCAGTCAAGTGGAGCTCAATTAATTCCGACTAAATCTCACTTCTCATTTTTAATTCAAAAGATTTATGCAAGATTTAACCTCGGTTAAGCAAATCCAAGAAACGAGCGGCGGAAGTAAGCCAACAAACATTATTTAAATCAAATTTCCGCACATTTCTTCAAACGTTTTCCGCAATGCACTCACCTATGAATACGCAAAGGTAAAAAAATTAACTTACGAGTACTCCTTCTGCCTTGGCACACAACAGAAAAGTGTGAATTCCCACAGGATGCAGGAACTTGCATTGCATATTTTTTTTCCATTCCTTAGCACTTGGCTCACATTACAAGGACTGAAGATGAAAGAAAGAAGCTCGTGGGAAATGCTCAATCGCATCAAATAAAAGTATTTTCGAGTTTAGTTATGTGATGCGAAAAGAACAAATGAAATATTTAAAAATAAAAAAAAAAAGAAACTAAAATATATAAAATGAAAGGTTAAGTATAGTAAAAAGGACGAAGTAAAGGAATTCATAAAGGTAGACGTTCTATAGTTGGAAAAATTTTTCATACGTTGTGGTTTGTGTGAAAAACTTTCAAAAATGCCTCCAAGCTAAATTCATTACTTCATTTGCTTCATGAGTTATACTGTACAGACAAAGCAGCATGTTTGAACATGTATGTGCATATAGATATGTGCGTGGATGTGCCGCTAGAAATATTTGTAAAAAAAAAGTGCGGATGACTCTGTCAGGCACAGTATAAAAAACTTCTATCTTTATGCTGAGGCAGACAATTGCAGACAATTTTTGAAATAATTCAATATTAATTTAAAATTATTTTTATAGGTGTAAACTTCAATTTAATCGGAAAGGTAATCCCGCTATTTCCACAAATAAGGGAATATCTTTCGTTTAAGTTATTAAAATATTGCAGCCCAATGAAGAAGACAGCGGAGATGATTTCTATCGTTGAAATTTTTGATCTAGCTGATTAAATACTTTTAGTAATATTTGCTTATGTCCGTTAACTGTCTATTTCTCTATCCATTAGTACTTTGGGGTCTCTCAACTTCTGACTTAATCGAATAAAACTTTACGAAACTTGTCAAAAAATAAAAATATTCAAAATAAACGGTTACCTATTTCATAGATTTGTCAGCCGAAGCATCACACATGCATTTGTTTTAAGGTTCACTCTTTCCGTTTAACAACCGCTGAACACATCAAAACTGCAAATATTTAAAACAAATTTTAATTTAATAAATTTAATATAATTTTTTTTAGGGATATATTTATATTTTGTTTCTTTTATAATTTCCCTTATAAATTAGTGAAAGTTGGCAAGTAACTATCGTAACACCATTACATCCAGAAAAAATGTCTCATACGACGCTATAAGATTTAATATCCAGTATTGAGAGTATTGAAGGCATCAGTTTTGTTCGTCATAACCATATAATTACCAATTTATTATAACGAGTATTAAAAGATATAGATGTGAAAGATACGTAGCCTTAAGACCCACTCAACAAGCACTATTTTTGAAGCTCAAGCATTTTCCAGATAGTCTAGTTTCATGTTTTTGTGATATGAATTGGGAATATTATGCAGCTCATTACATTTCAACGTCCATTTAAGAAAATCGGAAGATAAGTAAGTCTGTTACTGCTCAGTGTTTGTTATTTACAGAGAAATAAGTTGGACGCTTGAACATCCATTTCAGAGAATCAGATCAGATGGATAACATATAACGAATCTTCAAACTTTCAGTAAAAGTATCTATCTACAGGACATACAAGTCTACTACTGCTTAATGTTTCGAAGTTTTATTATCCATTTTAGAGTATCAGCAAATGCATAAAGTTATACGGTTCTAACTCAGTGACGTTTCTACATTCATATATTCAGACAATTTAATTGAACGTTTTTACATCCATTTCAGGGAATCAGCAGATGAATAAGTCATAATGGATCTCTGGACTTTCAGTAAAAGTATCTACCTACAGGACGAATAAGTCTAACATCCATTTCATATAATCGGCAGCTCGATAAGAGTTATGCTACTTAATGACGCTTCTGCATCCATTTCAGGGAATCGGCAGATGGATAAGTCTACTATTGCTCAATGTTGGTCATTCATTTTACAGAAATAACAGATATTGGTTTTGGAAAGGCCATTTTGTTGAGATGATACCTTGACCTTCAGTGTTCTGTTATGTAAATTTTCCATTCTCAAACTATTTTCCAGTTTCTAAAATATTTTATTATCGTTTATTATCGTAATTTTCTATTTCCAGTACAGTTCCCTATAAGATGAAAATATTGTATCATTAGAAAAAAATTGTCAAATAAATTATTACATGAATTTGATACAAAAAAAACTTTTATTGTCAGCAGATTTGGAAGGCTTTACAACATTTTGACAACAAAGGACAAACCTCAAACCCAGAAAAACAAAGGATATCAAAACTTACGATGCAACGTCAACAACATCGAGAGCAAGAAAACGAGCAGAACAAAGACGAACGCCAAGCAGCACACAACAAACGACCCGGATGACGTCAGAGCTATGCCTTTAGGAATATTGGTTCGCCTGAAATCTGACAAAAGGATACGCAGTTGCATGCAACTGATAGTCAACCGAAACACACAGAAAGACAAACGCACAGCCAATCAAGCGAAAGGACAAAGCTTTCTTCAAGAAATTTTAACGAAGAGCCAAGAAATTTGATTTAAAATTAAATTTAAAGCTAAAATGTCCTTCGTGATTATTATCCTTTTACATATGTTGCAATCGTTTTTGTTTTTTTTTTGTTTTGTGTTTGGAATAAAATTCACAACTCAAAATACTAAATTGGAAACAAAAAAACAGTGGAAAAGTAAAAAATCCCCACTAACTTATGGCAATTGTTGTAAATTACATTGCAAATGAGCCAAAATCCACTGCCAGACAAAGTTTCCGGATGGCTCGGCCCGTGCACTTTTCAAGTTACAAGGACAAATTCTCGAGTATGCAAATTTCAGCAGAAAATAACCATCCAGCGAAGGTTTCCTTTTCAGGGTTATAAGCGAGTAAAAATAAAAAAAAATTACATATTTGGTCTGATATGCTCGCATATATAAAATTTGCACAACTTCATTTGTCTTTTAGCGAAGCTAGTCGAACTTTGGCGAAGGAAAAAAACTGGATATCAATGCAAGGCAACTCCATGTGGATTTCATGCAAAATACCACAGATTGCAGTCAGCGGTAGGAACATGTTTCAAATTGCAGGAAAATAGACCTGCCACTGAGTCAATAGGGACTTGTACTGGTAGCTTTAAATGGTCATACGTTAGGGGTGAAGTGTAATGACGGGTGTAGAACTCAACCGGTAAGGTATTTTACATTCGATTATTGTTGGGAATTAAAAGCAGTTGTAAATAATTATTTTTTAAATTAACAAAAAATTCTAAAAAATAAAAAATAAATATCGTGATTGTATTTTAAAAAAAAATAACACATCATTACTTAAATGCTTTTCCTTACTCTTAAATCCGACACAAAATTCACTGCCGACTTGTCGTCCAGAAGCCCGTTGCTATCGAGAGTTCACTCATTAAAAGAGGGTTTAGCGGTATTTACTGAGAGGTGAGTAACTGAGTAGTTTTCTCTGAGAAACTAGAAATATCCAAATATTTTAAGCTTCCTGATCACTGCAGCGTGTTAACAATAGACGCCGATGCTCTACTTCGATAGCAGTTGAAACTCTGCGACCACTAACTCTGTGAATCAAACAATAAGCAACATCAGCTGCTTATTGTTTCTTAGTGAGATAGCAAAACAGTATAATATCTGTGTCAATCCACAGTAATATTTTTGGAAAGGATGCTGTTAATTTACTGCCAAAACTTTATAAGAAGACACCAAATCTTCAGGAATATTTTTAACTTTACAAAAGAAACTGAGAAATTCGCCCGATCAGCACTCGTACAAAGGAATAATCTTCAAGAAGAATCTAACCCAACTAAAATTAAATATTTTCCAACCAATAATACAGAAAAAATAGAGTTTCTGTCCGGTGCTAGTAAGACTTTTTTTCCATTGATTTATTTCTCTTCTTAAATAGAATTTAAGAAGAAATTAAGAAGAAATTAGAAATTAATTTTGAAAATAGAAACTAACATGTATGCTATTGAGCTGAGGTATTCATATTCAGAAATGATTTTCTTTTAAGACGATTTAGTGCAGTTGGAGAAGAAAAATATCGAACATGAGGATTTGGATGAGATTTGAGTCTCTCTTGGAATTTAGGTGTATATTGACGAATAACTTCTCGTGTTATAGGAACCGATTATAAAAGTTTAAATATATCGCTTTATATATCTGCTGAACTTGCAAAGACGAAAAGAAGAGGAAAGGAGAATAGCACTATTCTGCCTCTTACAACTTAAAGATTTTATATTAAAAACCCGAATGGAAAATTAAGCAAAATATATTAAAAATTTCATTGAATTTAAAAATAGACAAGAATAATAGAAGTCCTACCAAAACATAGCAATAATGAGATTAAAAAAAGTTCATATAACTGGGCAATAAAAATGTGAGCGATATTTAGAAAATTATTTTAAAATAATCTAATCCTTCCTCTCTCTCATTCTCATATTCCATTGGAGCATAATGCCTCTAACCCTCTGCTAAAGTGTTTCTAAAGTGTTTACAATCTTTACTAATAAATTCAGATGCAAAAAATCAAAAATTAACAAAAAATTTAATATTCGCAATTAAAAATTTAACATCAAAATAAAATTTAAGTTTAATATCAATTTATTTAATATACACAAAAAATTTAAACAAAATTTTTAATTCAAAAAATTTTTAAAAAAAAAGTGCGAACTACCCTCTTACGACAAAATATTATTTGATTTGTCACGAATACTATTCACAATAGATCAGCAATTGTACTTTAACTAATCTATCACATACAAACACCATTTTAAGGTTCATGTAATAAATATCGCTAGTGCAGTTCAGATTAAGAACGTAGATAACTCCTTGACCGTGCAATGCATTATGAATCTAATTGGAAAAACAAAATACATCTGTTCTATGAGCTATACGTAGTAAAACATACAGAGAGCGTAACAAAAATAAAATGCCAAATTTCACTGTATACACAGATTTTCATGGAACCGATTTGTGTCTGATAAGAACATCAGTGCAGCGCGAATAAACAATACAAAAATTTAAATTCAAACCAAAACAGCTGATTCACACATCTACACAAATTTACTTGAAATAACAAGTGCGAGCCTGTGTAGCATTTTCAAATTACGTCAGGGATGTTACACTCTTTTAGATGCTCTCATTTCCTCAAAAATTTGCTAATAGAACGGATTTGTGTATATACAGTGTTACTCAAAGTTACTACGAGTACCTTGTTGAACAAACCTAGTGTAATTAAAATATATTGACAAATATGAATACAAAAATAACTGCATTAATAAAAAAGGAAATAATTTTAATTTCATTACCATTAAACTTTTTTGACTAATTAAACGAAAATGAGTTAATGATTCATTTAAAATTTTTAAAAAAATAAATATATTTCTTCTTCTTCAAACTTTTATTGATTTTGGCGTTCTAATATATTTGTCTGTAATTGAGAGCATTTCATAAATTTTTAAAATAATTTATCTGTTGCTGTCCTTTTAAATTTTTTACTATCATATATAAATACTCTGAGTAATAGTCCTTACTTAAGCCCCAAAACTGATTTAAGTACAAATTAATTCAGTGACTTATAGCCTGCTGAAGTTGATATTGATTTATGGCAATACATAAACGTATAGCGATTATCCAATATTCCTATTCAAACTAACTTTTTATCAATAAAAAATTGTATGAAGTAAAATCAAAATATTTTTATATATTATTAAACATTTCAAGCTTAGTTCCGGTGAATAAAAATAAATATATTTCACTGATGAATTCAAAATGTACGATCATGTGAACTGACCGTGGTTAGTGACCTTTATGTTAGTATCGAGACGTAAGTTGCGACTGTGGAACCAGCCTTGAGTGGTTTTTTTGCGGTAGGGTGGAAAGCATCGAAGGCCACAGTGTAAGACTTGAATCCACTAAAACCACCGCTTAGCAATGAATGAAAAGAGAAATGAGAGTAGAACACTAAATACCTAGCAGGCTAGGAATATCTAAACCAGAAAGTATGGACATGTAGAAGCGAAAGCGTACATGAGCAGGAGGAGATTAAATTGTCTATAACAAACCAGCTTAATACTATGTTCAGACACACTCTAATTTCGCAAAAATATTAGTTTCGTCTTCTTTTCAGTGAAATTAAGTTGTTTTTCCATACGAAATTTAGATTTAACCTTAGAGTGAAATTAAGGAAAATAAACTTAATTTGGTTGAAAAGAAGCTTCAAATTAAAGGACATTTCAAATGTAATTATACGTAAGATAAATTTTAAGCAAAAGACAAAGTTGAGATAACGTAAAAATGACATTTTTTTTAAATAAATTTCAGTGACGGTTAAGTTTAATAAAACCGGGAAAATATTTTGAAAATAGTGCAAATTTTTAAATTTGTATATGGAGTAAAAACTATAACTGTTATTAATTTTAAATAGAGTAACACAACAAAATCCATTTGATTTCCCATATTTTGGCTCAGTATGAACGCTTTTTAAACTAACTTAGTATCATGTTAACGAAATTAAGGAAATTTGGCTGTCAGAACACATTACATCTTTGCAGTTAAGCTGATTGTGCCTACGAAGTGCATTTTACAGTTGAGTATGCCTATAAGAGCATTGGCGATGGCATAGTCAACGTGAGGGGTGAAGTTGGCTTTGGGTGGTAAGAATTCGAATGTAACTACAGAAATATTTTTTCTTTAAGACCATGAAAGTAATTAAAGTAAACATTGTATTTGAAAAATTATTTTAAAATTTTTTTATAAATATTTATAAATTATAATTTTTAAATAAATATTGTATATCGATATTTTTATGTACATATTTGTGTGTTTCGATGACAAACATATGTTAAAATTCTCATTAACAGTTGAACTTTGGAAAAGCAACCCTGCGAAAAGTCTTTGCAAACACTGCTGTTGAGATAAATTAAAATTGTGGAAAATTCATTGTCACTTGTGATTGTATTAAAAACGTCTGAAAGTTGGAAGTGCGCAGTATTTAGCATAGAAATTGATAAAATCGGTAAAAAAAAACAATAATTAGGTGAGTAACGCTAAAGAAAAGTATATAGAAGAAATACTTTTAGTGTTTAAATTAAAATTTTCCAATATGTGCTACCGAAAGTATTAAATTATTCGCAAGCAAGTGTGCAAAACCGCAATGCCTACGCGTTTAATGTGTTAGTAGAGTACCGCTATATACAGCAAACGTGTCGCCTATGCACCGTAATAGTTGGAAAAGAAACGAAAAATATTTGTTGGAAAAAAACTTTAGTTCAGTTGTCAAAAATGTCATACAATTTTTTGTTATAAGTTGCTTTGACAATACCATCACTTCATATAAACGTTTTCGTCGTCTGAGTGGTTAGTTTTTAGAAAATAAATTTTTTCGTCGTGCGAACGTGTGTGATAAATAAAAATAGCATAAGCATAAGTAACTTTTATTTTATATTGAATTGAAAAGAAAAGAAAAGTGGAAAATATATATTTTGGCATTGGTAATTAAAATTTTGTATTAATCAAACAAAACCTGTGATGTGTGATATTAAAAGTCTGTTTCAACAATTTTCAGGTATATAATTTGTATGCAAAATGTTAATAAATCTTAAGGTAAAGACGCTTGATGCACAAACTCACGAATTTAGTGTTGATAATGAGGTAAGTTTAATAAATGTTATGTTATAAAATATTGAAAATATAACCACCACCACCACCACACCCATATACAGTTAGTCGGCGATTTAAAGATTTTCTGATGAAACTTTCTTTTTCCTTTTTTTTTTTCTATTTATTTCATTTATAGATTACTGTGCGGGAATTCAAGGATAAAATCGCTGAAAAAACGAATATTGCCGCGGAACAGCAACGCATCATTTACTGCGGTCGGGTCTTGGCAGATGAGAAGCAATTGAAAACTTATGGTGAGTCACCGAACCAAGTCTAATCGGTTAGTTAGTAAGAAAGGCAAGGGTTGAAAATATTTCGAAAACATTTGTTTAGAATTTTGTTGTTATTTTACAATTAAATTATCATAAAAATTTAAAGAAAATAGTCTCTTTTTTTCTAAGTTCTGTTTTATACAAAACAGAGCAAAAAGTTCTGTTATGCGTTCCGATTTTATTGCTATCGTTAATTGTGTATTTGTTGTAATCATTGCCGTTTATAATACCAGGAATTAAGTGTCAGTATAAGATAAAGATTTAATTGGAAAACTATACAATTCTTAGTGGTTACAATAATACGTCGTGTCATACGGTTTTGTCTATCTGCAAATGTTTGTTTTTCTTGTGGTCTCAATTACTTTATAAATAAGCAAAACAATTGTTCCTATAAATATGGTTTTCTTTTGTTTTATTTCATAAACAATGTCCATTTAATACAAACATTAAAAATAATTTCTGGAGAGAATTGTTGACTAATACAAAACAGCTGTAATGACCATAGTATATGTTTTACTTGGGGACAACTATTATATTGTTTTTTAATAAAGAGGTTTTCGAACAGAAGTGAAACAACAAAAATTTATTTTTTAAATTATTTTAATTAATTGAATTTTTGGCTGACCATACAGCTGTTTCGAGTATTGCCAAATACCCTTCATCAGTGGTCTTGTAAATAATTCTTATATTTAATTATTCGTAAATAATTATTTTTGAGACTGCAAGTACCAGGAATCGAACTCGGGTCCTGCCAAATATGAAGCTCAGAATCAGCGCACCTTAACCAACTGATCCAAAGCCGTACTTGACTTTTTATGTTCGCATATTTTTGCTGGAGTTTTGTTACTTTTGCTATTAACTCATCTTAATTAAATAAAGATGAGTTAAAAATATATTTCGTCAGAAACACATGATATGCAGTTCGAAACAAAAACTGAATTAAATCAATCTTATATACAGAGACTCCACTGACTAGGCTCTCCCTGTGACGACTTCCTTGGTTAGCAAAAAATTTTTCAATCCAATTGAGGTTTGGATGAACTCACGTGCTGTTACTTGTTACAAATAAACACATCTATCCGGAACATGTATACTAACAACAGCTCTACTACTCATTATGGCGACTACCTGATATAACCATATCAAACCCTATTGCAGTGGAGCCAACATCAGTGACTTATAGACACTCCACACAGACACAGTATTCTCTTCAAGACCTAGGTTAACTCTCAACAAGGTTCTCAACAGGCCGACGTCTTTCGCTTGCAGCAAGAACTCTCCTAACTCAATTAAGATCAGGGTACAGTCATGTGCTAAACAGTTACTTGTCACGCTTAAATATGTTCTAATTCCTAATGTATGCCCAAACTACAGCTCTACCTACCCCCATAACGTGACCTATCTATTATCCCCCTACGCATACAAACCTTATTTCAATTGATTTTTGGTTTCACCCTTATGATGTGGCTACGTTTCTTCATCTGGAGTTGGATTAATTATAATTGCAATCCCTCATATTCTTTATTCTCCCTTTGTCTCCATCCTTTAACCAAACATCACTCATCCACATCCCAAACCATGTATTCGTCTTGTAATCCTTACGTAATATTACGTAACACATATTCTTTATTCTCCCTTTGTCCCTATTCTTGAACCAAACACCACTCATCCACATCCCAAACCATGTATTCGTCTTGTGATCCTTACGTAATATCTGCTTTCAGATCCCGACGGGTTACAACAACAGCAACCACCTGTGATAGCAAAGTTTCTTGTCATCTACTTAGGTTAATTTTAATACATATCTGCCTTATAATTTGGGATATTTTCGCCTTATAATCTGTACATGTTTTGATTTTAGGGTGCTATTGTTGGGTCACAACAATAGCAAAATAAAATTCTGCTATCAATTTATTACAAATTTTTTTTCGAGTGTTCCAGCTTCTAAATAAATAAACAATTAAAACAAAAGATTAAATTTAGTTATGTTTTGTGTAAATTTACAAGTGAAGTATAAAGTTTTAAATGAAAGATATATTAATCTATTAGAACAATTAGTTTATGCACAACAGTAAAGACTGCAGATGCATTGAAGAATAATCTTCGCTGTTGTTGTTGTAACCCGCGGAGATCTATCAAACAGATAACAAGAATGATATACAAATAATTTAATCTTCGTAGTTGCATATAACACTAATGACTTCATATGTTATCTACTTTACAGATCCCTGCGGGTTACAGCAGCAAGAATGACTTTATTTCACATCACCTTTTGTTTATGAAATTTATTTACAATTTGTCAATAGCTATCAGAACACCTATAACATCATATATATATAATACTATAACTTTTAATATTAGTCTAACTTATCAAGAAATGAAAAGTGGTAAAATAAATAATTATATTCAGTAAGACGTTAAGTACACTATACAAATTAATCCTATTATAACTTTTAAAACCAAACTTTAAAAAAACATTTAGTTCTATATATCTACATTTAGTTATATAAACTCCTTTTGGTTCGTTTTATCTTACTCAGCGATCAATTGTTTCAATAACTTCCATATGGTTTTTAGAGATTGTCAATTTAACCTAACTACCTACTGCAGATAACAATTATTTATTTTTAAAAAATATCTTATCACTTAACTATATTTTTAAGTTTGAAAACCAAAAATAATTCTTCAATTTCTCTACAGAACGTCAGATGGTTCAGTTTTCTGTTCTAAATGGAGCATAAGACCCTGTTATTAATGTATATACCACGTAGAAGAATATAGAATAGAATATTCATGTCAAGCAGATGACATGAAAGGAATTACAAACTCTTATACATTACATGGGTTAGGATGTGATTAGGTAAACGTAGTGTGAGAGGGGAGATTGTTAGGGACAAAAATAGATTGGGGGTGGCATCTTTATTGTAGTCATATTCATCATTGCGAGGAGTATATTTTGCGTTGTTATATTAACACGAAAAACTAAAATTTTTATTTACTTCATATATATACTTTATTTTTCTTAATTTACTTATTTAAAATGTACAAAAAGCAAATTCTTTTTCCTTTTAAAGATACAATTGCACTCTGAAGTTAACAGCGGATTTCTTTTCAAAGTCATTTCAACGCTTTTCCGATTTTTCTTTGTAGATCATTGGTTTTTGTTATGATTACTCCATATTGCTAACTGTTTTTAGTGACATTACTATATATTTGTCTCAAATATATTAAAAAATCTTTGTTATTGTTGGTGTAATCCGCTGGAACCAGTAAGCAGATAACATAAAAAGGATATACACTACCATTACATAGATGGGGATTGGGGAAATGGATGGGTAGTGGTTAAGTGTTATTGAAAGGGGAAATGAGAATAATAAAAATCTTTGTCGCGAGCTTCAATTTTCATATTATTTTTAAATGTACAATGTAGTATTGTTTATAATGTTCCTACCATCTTTGCTACCTCTTTCAATTTCGTATTATTTAATAACATTCTCGAAGGATATATCTGCTGCACTTGATTTAATTGCTACTTCATTAGTTCATATTAAATTTTTCTTATAATATATTAAATTCTTTTAAAAAATTTCAATAACTTAGATTTGTTATTGCTTTCAGATGTCGAAGGTAAAGTGGTCCATGTTGCTGAACGTCCTCCGCCCTCTCAACGCGGTCCATCAACTTCCAGTTCACAAAATAATGATGTACCTCGTGAGACACGTACAGCTACTCGGGGAATGCGTGGTTCTCCACTATTTCGTGCATTGGATGGTTTGGTCGTAGGCACGATGGCAATCCCTGTAAATTCAAATATTGTAACTCTAAATATATTTTATTTAATTTATATATATGTATATATATATACTAATAAATGTATACATATATGACCTTAAACATTTTAAATTAATTTATTTTTTTTTCTTTTTCTTCATAAACAGAGTAATGGCCAAATGCGTGTCAATCCATTTACATCTTCGTCATCTTTTTGTATGAATCGTATTACTGTTGCTCGTCATATGTTGGATTGTGCTAATAATATCGCAAATTATCTTGAAGATCCACAACGTGTAAATAAATTTTTTTGTCTACTTATAATATATTTTGCAACAAAAGTAAAAATTCCATATATATTTTTAGGGACTAAATAACACTCCTTTGGATATATTGACACGTGGGCGTTGGACAATGGAATCTACTGTTGTTGAAGTTGGTATATCTGCAGCTGATTTACCAACAGATCCAACGCAAAATATTATGGAAATGGTCCATGGTGCTGTTTCGGCTGCCATGCAACGTCAAGGTAAGACAAATATATACAAGTAGAGTAATAATACAATTGTAATAAATATGTAGAACGCAACCCTAACAATGTTGAAAATCCAGCTGAAAACAACCTTACAATTAATACTTTACCTACTACTCGTCTTATTATTGAAGATGCACATAGTGAAGATGATAGCCCAGTTGACGCAGAACCTAACGCAAATGGTAATGCTGCTGAAGGCGCTTCCCCTACAACGCCAACAGAAAATACAGACAATGCAAATACTGCTACTTCCAATGGTGGTTCAAATGACACACCCCGACGTACACGTACACAAGTACTTGCAGAGGTTGTTGAACAAATGCGTCGGGTGCAAGAACGTCTTAATCCATTTATTGCACGTTTTTACACACTCTTACATGAGGATCCAACTTTTGAAGAAAATGTAAGAAATTTCTAAAATATGCTAATTGAATTTTAATAAAAGTATTGTTTTTAATAATAGGACACAACTGGACGTGAAGAAGCGCAACGCTTATATGATCGTGTCTCCGAAGCTTTACATTACATGTCTCATGCTCAACATGCCATTTCTGATTTAATGCTTGACGTTTCGCAAGCTACTCCACGCCATTTAACTTGTCGTCCAATATTAGTCGAACAAAGTGGCTATGTTACTTCAAATAATTATATTATGGCTTCAGCTGCCGCCCAAGCCGCAGCTACGGCTCGTCAACAGAATGCCAACAATACTAGAAATAATAGATATAGACCAGCAAGCACAAGTACTTTAACTACTAATAATGATTCTTCTAGTGCTAATAACACTGAGAATACAGGAATGGGCACAGCTCATGTAGCTATCGTACCAATACCTACTAACGCAGACAACGTTGTAGAGGATCCAGTTGATGAACCAATTATTGAAGTAATGCCACCTACACAAGCATCCAGTGTCAATATTGAAGGGCAAGGAAATGGTAAAATATTTTATTTTGTTTTTGGTTTTGATTTTTTATTTCATTTATGATTGATGCTAATTGTAGGAGGTATAGCGGAAATTACTTTACAGTTAAACGGACGTCCTTCAATTGGTACTTTATGATATATAATTTTTCTTCGGTTAATTTATTAATTAATTTTTCTGTTGATA